GGGGGGGGGGGGGGGGAAGAAAGGGGATTTCCCATACTATCGCCCAGGAAAACAACCTCAGGTAGAGCCTCAATCCAGGTACTATTTGAGATTTGTCTAGTATCCAGGATACGTAAATTTTCGAAAATTTCTGACGATTTATAACTGTTTTTAATGAGCTTTGCCCAATCGTTGCCTGACTTTTTCATTCCGGGATAAACAAAATAAATAAAGTAATTTTACAGAGGTTCAAGCAAATATTAACCCTGTTCACCCATGCAAGTTGCACAAGAACTACTCGTATCTTTCCGCCTCTCCTAGGTAGAGGGTGAAGCTAAGAGATGGGAGGATCTGGAGTGTACGATTGACGTAAAAACCACGATAGTTCAGTTCGAGGGGCTTTTTGGTCATTGACTTGGTCGTTGGGCTGGTGGGTACATAGTGAATTCTATGACTAAACTAGGCTATTCTGTGCTGAAATGGGAAGGAAAGGATAGTGAGGAGGAGCGGGAGGAATGTAATTAGGAATACAATCAGTAAGGGATGGATTGTAAGGAACAATGCATTGTTAGCGATGGAGAAAGAGGGGAAGAAGGAGAGAGGGAAATATAGAGAGAAGGGAAATGAGTGAAAAAAANNNAAAAAAATGATGTCATAAAAGTTCAGTATGGAAAAATAGGTTATAATTTGGATAGGTAGAAGGTTTGAGGCAGTCCGAGAGAAATTTTACGGGAAAGAGAAGTGTAAGAGAGAGAGGGAAGGGAAGAGAGAAGGATGACGATGATTGCAGGAAGGGTATGACTGTTAAGATTACGAACAGTCCTACGAACAGAAAAGGGTTGGGCAAGTAGTGCTGTTTGAAAACAAAGTATTAGGGCTCAAAGAATCTAATTGTAAGCAATGTCTGAGTATTCTTGATCTTCGATGTCATTCAAACTCACCTGATTAATTTGAATTACGAAATTCTTCTATTTAAGCTACTAGACAGAAGTCACCTACTATAATTTGTTGTTTTGTTCATAGTTATAGTTTGTTTACTAACCAAGTTTATTTACCCAAATTTAATACTTCAAATATAATTTATTGAAAGTTCTGTGATCATATTTAATTTGCCATCTAGGTTCAATACGAATACAAATCAGAATCAGAAGTCAAGGCTTGAGCTGACGTGGGAGGTAAAAAGGAAGATAGGGAGTGAGCCTGAAAGGAAGGGGGTAATATCGGATAGGGAGCATAATCTGAAGGCACGTTTCATTACAATGGAAAACTAGTAAGGCTATCAATAAAGAGAGTTTTGGATAATTTCAGTCCAACGGAAGCACTAACTATAGGCATTCCGAAGTTTGCGACATGCTACTAATGGGTTCTCGTCATCCCTTCCCGTTCAGGGGTTCCCAGACCGGAAATTCAAAAAGGAAAAGGATGCACAAGTACAAGAATACGTGCAAAAGGACGAGAGGGAGATTTAAAAAACGCTGCAAACGGCTACTTTGTAGAAGCGGGCTCGAGCAACGTCGTAAACGTCATCCCGAGTGGCTTGTCTATAGAAGGCGGGACATTGGGGAGTGGAAAAGCAGAAAAGAAGAGAGCGGAGGAAAAAAAGAAGGCTGGCAAATCAGATTACACCATGCCAAGAGGTTTGACTGGTGCATGTAGTGGTTAGAATCTTCAGAAAAGTGTTATTCTAATGGAGGCAAGGCTATAATTCTATAAAACGAAACGATAAACTATTTAAATGACGTCACTTTTGTTTACGTATAAAACAATCGAATAAACTCGAAAATAATGAAAATCAACGCTTACATTCATGTTCCTGTCGTATGACTGGAGGGTATTACTTTCTGGAAACTTCATATAGACGATCATCGGTAGATGTGCATGAGTTTTCTGCAATAAAAACAACCAATTGAGTGATATGGGAGTTTGGCAAAGAGCGGTTTCCCGTAAATACTTTGGCTCCAACGCAACATATGAGGAAAACAGTCATTGTCAACGAGAAAGACCGGAAAATGACGTCATTCGGAAGTTCCCGATGCAATTAAGAGGAGTAGCTGCTGCTGGGCGAAAAGGTTCCGGGGTATACGATGACATTTTCAATGCCAGCTGTCCCAATGGACCGACTCCACCCCTTCCTTACACGTCATTTTGTCCGGGAGAACGCCATGGGATAGATAACAGGGAAATCACGATTATGCTATGGTTACCATGGAACAAGTAATTGCCTCATCTGCCTGCAAATCGGGATGGATTGGGAAATCGGGGAAATTTCGGCATTGGACCCTTGATTCAGACGGATTGAGGAAATTCTCCCAAAGAGAACCCTCTTGGTAGGATACTACACAGCTGTAATGGCAGATTATCCGAGACGACACCTATTAGCTTAAACATTATGGTTTTCTTCGAATCCGATTCAGGAAGATTTCAAGAAGAGGTAAAAATGAGCATTATTCGGAATCAAGGAAAGAATAACTACCTTGGGAAGGAAAGTACGGTGCCAATCTAAGACAGTAAGGTCTCCTATAATTGTAGATGTTCAAAATAACTGGTTTGATGGTTGGAGACATCCTACATCTTTACCACTCAGTTTGAAGCACTTTAGAGTGATGATATGGCACTTTCACGATGCCAAACTTTTAAATGTCCACCGTCATGTCCTTCAGATAGCGATGACGTGAGGGGTGCTTCCTGCCTTACCCAACATTCTCCTTATCCTGTTCAAAACTGCCCTTTTAAAATGCCCTTTCGAGTTTCTCCAGAACTTCATAGTAACCGAGGAATTTCCTGTGACCTGGGAAGGCTGGAAGTCAAAATATGCCCTCTTTGGGTCCCAAAACACAGTTGGCATAACTTGTCGGCGGGATAACCTGCCCCTCGGCTGTTCCTGGTGCCCACTACTGCCTACTCCTCAGAACGAAGGACCATTTGTCTTGAAGATGGTTCCGCTCCGACAACGGGATGAAAGACGAAGTTGATTCTTTTTCAGAAGACGTGGCGCAGAAGTGAAAATGAAACCACAGCGTACAAAAAGCGCAAGGAGCGCGAATGACGATTATTCCGCAATAATGAAGCACTTTGAAAAGTGATATCAAAAACAAATGTCCATTTGTCATTCTAAAAAAGGAGAACCTATTTTTGGAAGAGTCCTACTTCATCTGTTGCCCATTAGAAACTCGTCATAGCAACAGCGATAAACCTCCTGGGACTACATTCGCTCTGGATCCTTTCCAAGATGACTAGAGTGTAAAAGGAGAAGAAGAACACCTCGAAAACATGTCAGTACTCGGACTACTTTTCAGTTACCAGTTGGAGGATTTCCAAAGGAGAAAAAAGTAGATTCGAGAGTGTACAAAAGATGGACCGACAAGTTGTAGACGTCAAATTAGCGGTCCAATGAGCCGGAAAAGAAAGAACTTCCAATGAGGAAACGTGCAAAATTACCTAACCAAAAATGGCTTTTAGCTTCAGTTCAGTCCCTCTGTTATCTCATGTCACCCATTCCTTCCGTAAATCAGGTAGCACTTGAGAAAAGCCGTGGCGTGAGGCATCACTACCGTCTATATCGTCGGGGTAGTATATACTAAAGTAAGTCGTGCATGGGCCTCCTAAATCCACAGTCCATTACAGTCGAATAACTGGTAGAAGACTTATGTACAGAAACGGAGTAGATCGATCCCTAACTTCTCAGAACTCCCTGTATGAGCCAGAGGGAATTGCAGGATCAGAATGATCCTGAATAAAAGTCGGTATGTCCCGGGGTGGGGCCAACTACAGATGAACAAGCGATTTCCATTTTTCAAGAAGAAAAATTCAAGACCTTCAGAGACGGGGCGGTAAGGAAAGATTTGGCAGAAGATATTCTCAGCGGCGATGATTTTATGTGGCTATTCGACACGAATAACACCCATTCCAATGAGAAAATGACATCACTTCAGATTGTTGTTGGGAAATGACGTCATGAGAAAAACACATCATCGAAATGTAAATTCCCAAGAATTAAGCGCACTTTTTCCCCAACAATTAAGGCATGATGCATCATCTATTACTCATTTATTCGAGTTACTCACCTTCAGAGCGTCGATAATGTGATATTCGGAATCAGGAGCGATGTATGTCATCAAGATGTTGTATGATTGATTCATACTTTCACGTACTCCTAAAAAAATCAATAACCACTTCTTCATTCTGTAAGTTTATTTTGATTTTTTGTTCTTGGAGTAACTGATCAAAGATGCTTGGCATTAATCGTATAGTGTTAGTGCGAGGCCACGGACTGCACAGTCATTCTTTCGGTCAGCTTCTAAGGATCGAAGAGATCAGCTGAATAATGAAGCATTACGTAAGTCCATGATGTTCCTTGCAGGGCTTGTCTTCATCTTCCTTTTACCCATCTAACCCTTTTAATCCTTACTTCTTCTTCTTCTTCTTCTTCTTCTTCTTCTTCTCCCTAGCGTTAATCCCGCGCCGTCGCAGGGTCCGCTGTTCTTGTCAGCCGTCTCCATTTCATTCTATCTACGGCATCTTCTGCCGTCATCTTGGCTTCGGCGAGGTCCTTCTTGATCACGTCCCGCCATCTCTTCTTTGGGGCTCCTCGTGGTCGCTCACCTTGAGCCTTGAATTCCATTGCTTCCCTATCGGATGGCTCTGTGGTCTTCTTAGTACATGCCCGAACCATCGCAGGCGCTGCTCTCTCATCTTCATTTGAATTGGAGCTGTTTGCATAGCCGTCCTGACGTCTTCATTTCTGACCCGATCCAGCCGCGTCCAGCCGCAGGCCCATCTGAGCATTCTCATTTCAGCGGAGTGGAGCTGTCCTTCGTGGGATTTAGTCACGGGCCAACACTCGCTGGGATTCGAACATGAGCAAAAATAAGAACAAGAATATACATAAGAATATGAATTTGAATATGAATATGAATATGAGCTTCTTCTTCTTCTTCTTCTTCTCCCTAGCGTTAATCCCG